CGGGCACCACCGCGGAGTGTGTTTTGCCGCAAAAAAGCGGTATTTTATCTTCCGTAAAAAGAAAGTTTGGTGGGTGACGTCCGAAAAAGGAAAGTGGTCAGTGGACCTCAGGAAATGGTCGTGCGACAATTTGCTCCAGGGTCACACGTTCCACCGACGTCGGACAATGCATAGACGAACAATCCGTGCTCCGTCCACGGGACCTGTTTTTTTTTTTTTTTTTTTTGGAAAAGTTCAAGACGGCTCAGGGGGCCAACCTCGGCTTTCGGCACAAATTCGCGGCGTGATTTCCTCCGTTCGTCGTTTTCCAGACCATGCACGACGTGAAAACGTCCGCAGGTGGGTGGGCGGAGGAGTGTGGAGATCCACTGGCGCACAGTGGTGGGGCTGAAGGAACCGCTCCGAGGCACAAATTCGCGGCGTGATTTCCTCCGTTCGTCGTTTTCCAGACCACACACGACGTGAAAACGTCCACAGGCGGGTGGGCGGAGGAGTGTGGAGATCCACTGGCGCACAGTGGTGGGGCTGAAGGAACCGCTGAAGATCGTGGACAAAGCCTGTGCTGGCAGCTCAGAGATGGAATGCAGGTTTTGTTTCGAAAAGGATGGCCGGATTCGCTAGGGAAACGAAGATAGATCCGGCGGCCCGTATGGACGAGGGATGACAAAAAGGTCTCTGACAGGTTTGGCAGAAGATAAAGCAGGCTGAGAAAAAGTTTAAAAAAAACGGGGTGTATCTGGAATGCAAAATGGTCCAGATACATTTGGCAGATCTGCTAGACTCCGCCCCCTGTTGCCGCACTGCATGCCTCAATCCGGCAAAGATGGGCAGAGGGGCTTTATCCTTTCTGCCAATGCTCGCGGGGCCCTAACAGACTTGAAAGTGTTCTCGGCAACCCTTGTGCCCGCCCTCAGTGAAGGCGGGCCTGAATATTCACAAGAGGCCTATTTTCCACATTTTCCATATGTGGGTACACAGAGGCGCAACACGCCAGTTGGTTGCAGGGAAACTCGAGCCTCCAGGCTTTTTCCAGAAAACAAGGACTGTGCTGTACTGTTGAGCCCAGGGCCGGGTGGTTGCGCCCTGCGCACAAGCAGCGTGAGTCCGACACATCAGGCAGCAGCCACGGACAAATGAGAAAGCAGGCATTGCCGTCACACAATCTCCACGACCCAATGAGAATGTGCCCAACACCTGGAGCCTGGGAGGCTACCTATGCGCGCCCAACCAAAAAGGGCCCAGGCCCTTAACTGTAGAGGTGGGCCTGGGCGCAGAGACTTGGCCCCGACTGGAAGCTACTGGGAACTTCCCCAGCCAGGCCCAGGCAGACTGTGGCATACTGCGCAGCCACACGGGCCTGCAGGGCCTGTCCCGCAGTCTCAGCCTAAAAGCCTAGAAACAAGGGCTTACAGGCCCCGTGTCGTTTCAGCCTGAAAGACTGAAAAACGAGGGCCTGCAGGCCCTATGTCGTTTCAGCCTAAAACAGGGCCTTTCAGGCCCTGAGTCTTTTCAGCCTGAAACGGAGGGCCACTTTCGGGCCCTCATAAGATCGACCTGCCCTAACACTCAGGCACAAAACCAGGGTTTCGGAACAGGCTATTTTTGGCCTGTTCCCACGCCAGCTTCAGCAGGAGCTTCAGCGGCAGGCCCTGGCTCACTTCGGCATTGGCCAGAGCAGCCTCCTGGACTGCCCCGCCCTGCAGCTGCAGGCAGTCAGGAGGCAGGCCGAGTAGTACATAGGGAGTTCCCATGCACTTCACGGGTAGTCAGAGGCCGAGGC